GAGAAGTAAAGGCAAGTAATTAGCATTACAAGTTCTAGACAGGGAACTAGAAAAAAGTCAGAACAGAGCAATTTTCAAATTTCATATGAGAGTACATTGGAGTTTCTTGACAAGGGCTTCCAAAAGCATCCCTCTATAGGGTTCTTCCTCATTTTTCTTTTGTCTTCCAAGGCTGGACTAGTTGGATGGGAAGAGTGGCTGGATATGTTTTTGATGATGCTTTTCTCTCTCTCTTCTTCCATAAATATTAACCTGCAGAGGTCTCAGGTTCCAGCTGTATCTTAAGCAGTTTTGTTGTTTTTGGTTTTTTTTTGTTTGATTTGGTATTGTTTGTTTAGCCCTGGCTAGCCTAGAAGTCACTATGTAGACCAAGGTGGCCTCAAACTTCAAACTCAGATATTCCCCTACCTCTGGGATTAAAGATATGTGCCACCACATCTGATTTAAGATTTTTAAGTTAATTCTAACTCTATTCCCATATGCTTGTTTCTCTTCTTTTGTTCTCCTTCATCCCAATGCCTCAAACTGAGAGTTTATACTTGTGTGCCCTTGAATAGCAAAGTATGGTCACCTTATCAAAAGATAGATTCTGTGACATTATAGTGAAGATTTTTAATTCTTGGAGAACTTTATTACAGCTGGATGTGGTGGTATATGTCTTTACTCCCAGCACTTGGAGGCAGAGGCAGACAGAGCTCCATGAGATTGTAGCCAGCCTGGTCTATATTGACCAGCTGGGGCTACAGGGAGACCCTGTCTCAACTCAAAAAGACCAAAAACAAAAACAAAAACAACAACAACAAAAAAAAAATCCTTGTTTTCTTTGCACTTTATATGCTGGTTGTCCAAATGTGTATCTTATGTTTCTCCAAGTAGGTTATTAAAGCTGGATCATAGAGCAGTTCTATTTTTAGTTTTTGAGTAACCTCCATACTGACTCCCACAGTGTCTGCATTATTTTACATTCCCACCAGCAGTGAATAAAAGTTCTTCTTTGTCTAGGAGCCTAAAACTTTTTTTTCCTTTAAACCAAAGGAGGAATGGTACAGCACAGGCATATTAGAAAATATTTTGAAAACTTAATGAGACATCAGATTTGTGTACATCTAAAAATAGCATTGATCTCTTTTAGGGTTCATGGTAAAAACAAAGCTGTCATCTGGGTGTGGTAGTGCACACCTATTATCTGGAACTTGAGAGGTACAGGCAGAAGGCTCAGGAGTTAAAGGTCACCCTCAGCTGAGATCGAGGAGGTCAGTCTGGATACATGAGACCCTGTCAAGAACAGCAACAACAAAAAGAACAAACAGGGGCTGAGCATGGATGATACGTATCTTCAATTCCAGCACTCCAGAGTCAGAGGCAGGCGAATCTTTATGAGTTCCAGCCAGCCTGGTCTACATAAACGAATACCAGGCCAGTCAGGGTTACATAGTAAGACATGTCTAAAACAATAACCAAAAATCCACACACACACAAAAACAAACAGTGCCTCGTCATTGTTTTTTGTTTTATTTTGTTTCGGATTTTTGTTTGTTTGTTTGTTTGCTTTGGACAGGGTTTTGCTATGTATGTAGTCTAGGTTTGTGACTATAGCATCTTCAACAGGCTAGCCTTGAACTGTAACCCAGGCTGAAATAAAACTTGTGGCAATCATTCTGCCTCAGTCTCCAAAATATTGAGATTAAAGCTGCTATCCATGCCTGGTATGTTTTCTAATGAAGGAAATAAAAGTGTGGTGGTGCACGCCTTTAGTCCTAGCTCTAGGGAGGCAGAGGCAGGTGGATCTCTGTGAGTCTGAGGGACAGCCTGGTCTGCATAGTGAGTTCCAGGCCAGCCAGGGCTACATAGTGAGACCTTTTCTCAAAATATAAAATAAAGGTTATAATGATGCATAAGAATTTTTGAAAGCATTTATTGAGCTGGATGTAGTGGCAAATACCTATAATCCCTGCATTTAGGAAGCAGAAGAATTGCTATAAGTTAGAGGCTAACTGGGTCTACATACTGAGTTCCAGGCCAGTCAGGGCTGCATAGTGAGACCCTGTGTCAAGCAAAAATAAGAGTGAGAGAAACATTTATTGAATACTTATAATAAGCTGGGAACCAAGTGTTTTATATAAAGTGACTCATTTTAGTAGTGGTGAAGAGGGCAGAATCAAACTTAAAGTATGAGATAAAACTAAATGGCTTAAATTGTCTTCAAGTTACAAAGTAGTGATTTCTAAGCATAGTTTGTAACACAGTATAGAACATTTGATTGTTTTAAGTAACAATTTTTTTAATTAGTTAACTTTTGAGATAACTTTATAAAGCCCAGATTGGCCTCAAACTTATGGTCCTCTTGCCTCAGTAGTCTTCAGTAACACATTTTTAATGTATTATCTTAGCTCAAGGCACTTCCTAAAACACTGAATTTTGATATATCAGTACAAACATCCCTGGACTCAATTTTTAAAGTTTTGAAATTTAACTTGTATACATATACGTACACACGTTTAATCTTTAACATAATAGCTCATCCACTCTTAATTATCAACTAATCTCAAGACCTTAACAATATTTTAAGACTTTAAATGGTGAAATTAGCAGGAAAGAGCTTAATTTAAAAGCTAAAATTTATAAAAAGTTCTTAATAAAATTCATGCTATCTCCCTTCCCCCCTTCTTGCTGAATTACCACATTTCTTCTAAATAGACAGTGTCAAGGGACAAATTATATTCTGTATCTCATACTTTTAGTCTAACTGGGAAATTCTAAACAGAAATGACTTTTCACAGATTAGCTTTTATTAAAACACTTCTTTCTTCAAAGCTGCTCTTCTTTTTGTCAAATATTTAATTATATAGTTAAAATGAACTTTGAGGGAACCTATTTTTAACTTATTTTTAGTTGAAAAACTGAAATAAGTTCAACTTCAAAAATCCCATTTTATAGGGTACTTTGAAGAACCTTTGTCAACCACGGTACAGTTATTGCTCTTTCATTGACATTTCATTATCTAGGTTGTTTGTCATGGAAGCCGAGTTACTTGCTTTCACCTAAACAGACAAGTTGGCACATCTGCCTAGCAACAGCAGCTAAAACCTTCTGTTGTGGAAGGTTCCCTAGGAGTGAGAAGGGAGGAGGAGGAAAAGCAGGAGAAACAGATTAATCTGTTTTTCCTAGCAGGGGACGAAGGCCTGGCTGTTTGAAGAGGGAAAGACTCTCCAAGAGATAGCCTTTAGATTAGTACATGCTGACCTACTCCCCCTGACTGCTAGAAATGTAGGGGTTACTAAGGGACTCGGGCTCTTATCTGGGGGGGATATTCCCAGGTGTTCAGCTGAGGACTGTACTGACCTTCTGTATGTTTACCTGTATATATGTACATACTAATTATAAAGCTTAATTTACAAACTGGGGCACAGTTAACAATAATAAATAGAACAATTCTAACAATACACTGTAGCATTTAAAATTTACAAATTATTTCTGGAATTTTTTATTTAAGATTTTTAGTTTGTCATTGTCCACAGGTGACTGAAACCATAGAAATTTCAGGTAAGTGGGGACTACTGTATTTATTAGGTTAGAGATTATAGATTTAGCTCATTTCAAAGGCAGTAAACACAAAGTCAAGGAGTCTAAAATGCCGAAATTTTACTAGCATGAGGTTATAATCAACTACAAAGGACTCTTCCTTGATAGGTTTAGAAACTTGTGCAATACATTTTAGAATAATATAAAAACCCTGTTTGAGCTGGGTGTGGTGGCTCACACCCATAATCCCAGAAGTTAGAAGACTGAGGCAGGATTGCCAGAGATGGGAGGCCAGCACCAAGAGCTACACTGAGTCCCAGGCCCAGAGAGTAAACCCCTGTCAAGAAACTAAAACCTAACCAGGTAAAGTGGTGGCACAGGCCTGTAATCTCAGCATTCAGGAGGCAGAGGATCATGAAATAGAGGCCAGCCTGGACTACATGAGACTTGTTTCAAAAACAGCAAAAACCAAAGAAACCAAAACCAATAAATATACACATATACATACAATAACAAATGTAAATGAAAGAACCGCCAGTTAATCAGGTGAGAGGAAGAAGAGCCTCTAAATAGTTTTCTTGATGTTGGTGGCATTTACAGACAAAAAAGGATAGAAAAAACAATTTTCTGCTTTCATGGCCAAAGCCTGAGGCAAAAAGCTTCAGTGTAGAGTGGGGAGTACTGTGTGTATTTACTGGAGGACTATTTTAGACGATTTATTATTAAATTAGTACTGCAAATATCAGAATTTCATTCCTCTCTGTTCTCCAAAACAAGTATTTGGCTAAGCTGAATTTGGCTGAAACTGTGTCCCATTACTCAAAACCAAACTAGTGTCTTTATTACACCAGGGGCAAAACAAATCTGCAAAAAGTCCCCAGGTTGGGCGTTCCTCCGACCGAATCTTTTTCTGTCCTTTCCCTATAGCCCTGACTTTATTGTTCATTCGGCTGCAGACATTTCGAAGGAGTCCAGACAGGCCTTCGGGCGGAGGTTGAACTCTGTCGATTTGGTAAGACGGGTGAGGACTGCAAAACCGGCGTGACGGGGACTCCGGATAAAAAGGAAGAAAAACAAAACAAAACCACCCAGCGGGGTGAGGAGTGGTGGAATGGAGGAAAGGACGTAAGAGTAGAGGAAGGGCTGAGAAAGTCACAAGAGCAGAGGCACTGCGAGACTCTGCAGAAAAGACGGTCACCGCCCAGCCGCTCTCCCGCTGGGACAAAGGAGGCGAGCCCGCGGACGGGCGGGGCGGAGGAGGGACCAGTTTCCTTGCACCCTGAGTGTCCAAGCTCAGGACCCGGGCGCGGCGCTCCGTCCGCAGCCCGCGTAGCGTTGCGGCCGGTGACTCAGAGCGCTGCCCTCCATTGGCCCCGCCCACCCCGTTGGTCCCGCCCCATCCCCGGTAGCCCCCCGCCCTCAGGAGGCGGATCCTCATCCTCATCTCCGCCCCATTCTCGGGGCGGGCCGGAGTCTGAGGAAGAGGAAGGGGACGAGGACAACGAGCGACTGGGCGGCGGAGGACGCGGAGGAAGAGGAGGTCGACCAACAAGATGGCCCCTGCTGCCGGAGCAGCCTCAGCAGCAGCAGGTGGGGGGCCGGAGGCGGCGCTGGCAGTGGCGGCCACGGCTGTGGCCCGGCGGCCTGGGACAAAGTCAGAATCTATGGTGGCAGCGGCGGCGGCGGCGGCGTCTGCCGCGACGGTGGCGACGACCGCAGGGACTCGGAGCTGAGAGGAGCTGCTGCTCGGACCAGCGCGGTGAGCGAGCGGCGGGCGGCGGCGAGGGGAGCAGGGCGGCGACGCCGAGAACAATAGGCAGCGGCGGCCGGGAAGGGGCTTGCGCTCCCGGCCGGCCCCGGGGCTTGTCAGTGGCCGGCGTCCTTTAGGCCTCAGGCCTCCGCGTGCCGCCTGGAGGGCCCGCCGGAGTAGGTAGGCCGAGGGGCGGTACGGACGCCGCCCTGGACGCGGGGAAGGCGGGGGCGGCTGCCCGGTGGTGCGGTCCCTCGGAGGACGGCGGGCGGGCGGGCGGAGAGTTGCACGCAGGAAATGTTTGGACCCGGGTCTGGGCGGTGGGGGAGGGCGAAGGCCCGTAAACAGCCGCCGCCTGGGCCTAGCCGCTTTGCGACTGCTCCCTCCCCCAGCCCCTTGGCCGGATGGACTCTAGCTTTTCGGTTTTTCTGAACTCCCGAAGATCGACCCAATAGGCCAAGGCGAAATTGTGAGTGCAGGTGCCTTTTCCCAAGACTTCAGTGCTACAACAGTTCTACACAAGATGTGATTGTTGGTAAAGGATGGGGTGGTGAGGGGTGAGCCTTCCCAAACATTATCGTAAACCCGGGGTCTGTAAACGTCTCTGTACTCACATCCCTTGTGAGGAAGAGCTGAAACAAGGGCTCCTTGGAGCTGCAATAATATAACTCTTGACATCCCAGAATAGTCCATGAAACTGGAAACAAAGCCACTTATTTGGCAATGCAGAGACAGATTGTTAAGGTTTGAATAGAACTTTTCTTCCAGCGAGCCGTTTTGAATTATGTACAGCAGAGGAAACAACATTCACGTCTGGTAAAATGCCTATCTTCTGGAAAGGCGTTTTCAGGAGTGAGGGGTGGCTTATCTGCAGCCCTAGAATTTCTTGTGATCTGTTTCAGTTCTGATATTACTTTCCACTAATTTTTCCTAAAATTATTGGAGAGGAAGCCTTTCCTGTTTGAAATGTCCTAAGGCCTATTTTCTGAGATTTCAGAAACTTTCAGCCTCGTGTTATGCTTGCTTGTAATTCTAGCGCTCCGGAGGCTCAGGCGGGAGAATCCTGAGCTCGAGGCCTGCAAGACCACGTCTCAAAACATCAAATCAACCAACTAAACACATTAAAAGGTTTTATCGATAATTTTCAGAAACTAGAAATGACTGTGACTGTGTTTTTAAAGTTTGGGCTTATGAAGAGACAGCTCTAATATTATTGACATATACTGTATTAGCGTCTGAGACTTAAAGGTAACCACTATTTTTCCTAAATTAATTTTCCAAGTGAAGGGGAAAAAGATTATTATTCCTCTTTCTACCTGAATATGCAGAAATTTATATTAAAATTGCTTGGATGCATTCAAAAAGACTTTAATATTCACTTACAGGATCCATCTAAGGGCTTCCTATTCCTTCCTTCTTTTCTTTTTTTGTTTTGGAGATAGGGTCTTGTAGCCCAAGCTGTCCAGGAATTGACAATCTTCCTGTCTCAGCTTCCTGAGTGCTGGGCTTAAAAGGAAGTAGACCTGTATAAAGAACATACTGGTTGATATATCTTTTGTCAATTTCTAGGGTAAATTTCTAATTAGAAATGGTCTCTTTCATTAATAAAAAGCATTGTTCAGCAAAAATGTAGTTTAGGGCATGGTGGCGCACTCCTGTAGTCTGAGCACTTGGGAGGCAGAGGCAGGCGGATCTCTGTGAGTTCAAGGCCAGCCTGGTCTACATAGTGAGTTCCAGGACAGGTCTGGCTACAGGGAAACCCTGTCTCAAAAAGACCCCCCCCCAAAAAACAGTAGTTTAATGAGCAGCATTAGATACTTGTTCTACACAAGACTTAATGGTGAATAATTATATGTAGGTAGAATAATCTTGTTTAGGATTTGAATTATAGTGGATGAATATCAGTAGACTTATTTTATGCCTAGCGTAATATTGTGGATGCTTTGATCTTTTGAATGGTGGAGAAACAGCTTTTATATTATTTAGGCTTCTGCTAATGCTGCTTGTAACTATTTTGGGACTAATAATTTCAGAATACTTTTTTTCTTTTTCTTGTTTTTGAAGGGCTCAAATTTGTGACTTTTCATACTGAATTTTGTTAGGCCCAGAACATCTGTGTTGTAATGATACTTAAATTTATCTGTGGCCCTAAACCTATTAGAACTACTACTACATTATGCTAATTTATGAGTTTGTAAATTTTAAGTGGTTAGTGTGGTTTGTTATGAAAAAAAAACCTCATTGTTGTGTTAAGGACTGATATACTGATATCTCTCATTTGATACAAGTTTTCTGAAAACAAAGGTTTTCAGGTAGGGAATGGAGTCGGGGGGGGGGGCAGGGAGGGGTGTGTGACCCAGTGGATAAGAGTGCTTGCTGCACAAGCCTGAGTTCAAATCCCTACCACTCACCAGGTTAAAAAAAATGGGGCATGATTGTGCATGCCCATAACCTCAGTACTGTGGGAAGCAGAGACATGAGGGCCACTGGGCCTTGCTGTCCAGCCTAGCTCCAGGTTTGGTGAGAGGTCTGGTTTCAAAGGAATAAGGCAGAGTGAGAGCAGGACACCCAATGTCCTCCTGCAGCTTCTGCATGACTGTGTGCACATACACCATACACAAATTTAAAAAAAAAAATCATTAAGTGGTAAGATTTTTCTATCTGAAATTGACTAAATAATTTCTATATGACATTGAAATGTTTGCTAGGGAATTGGTTTTATTATTAAATTTATTTTTATTTTTAAATATGTATATGTATGTGTATGTGTGTAGGTATGTGCATGTACATGCAGGTGCCTGCAGAAGCTAGAGGTGTCAACCTCTAGGAGCTGGAGTTACAGGCTGAGAATTGAACTTCAGTCCTCTGCAAGACCAGTTTGGGCTCTTAACCACCAAGCCATCTTTCCAGCCCTGTTTTTATTTATTTTGTCAAAACTGTTTTAAAATGATAACCTCACCAGGCGTGGTGGCACGTGCCTTTAATTTCAGCTTTTAATTCCAGCGCTTGGGAGACAGAGGCAGGCGAATCCCTGTGAGTTCAAGGCCACACATAGCGACTTCCAGGCTAACTGGGGCTATAGCGTGACCCTGTCTCAAAAAGACAAAAAAAAAAAAAAGATACGTCAGTTCTCATATCTTCAGTATCAATGCTTAGTCTTATTATTTCAGTTCAAATTTTTTCAAGTATATTTAAACATTTGCTGTAAAAAAGTTCTGAAGCCTGGCGTGGTGGCACATGCCTTTAGTCCCAACCTGGTCTACATAGTAAGCTCCAAACCATCTGGGGCTACAGGGAGACCCTGTCTCAAAAAAAAACAAAAAAAGAAAAAAAGAAAAACGTTCTGAGATTGGCGGGGCATGGTGGGTGCACCCTTTAAGTTCCAGCACTCAGGAGGCAGAGGCAAATGGGTCTCTTTGAGTTCAGCAAGGCCAGCCTGGTCTACATAGTTCCAGGTCAGCTGGGGCTACAGGGAGACCCTGTCTCAAAAAAGACCAAAAAAAAGAGTTTTGAGACTGTATCCTAAGATTAGATTTTCAGTTGAGTATGGTGGCTCATGCCTATAATTCCAGCACTTCAGAAACTGAGGTAGGATGATTGCCACGAGTATAAGACTAGCTTGGGCTATCAAGACCCTGTCTCAAAAAAGAGGAAAATGAGATTTTCATTTTCTTAGTAATGCTGAATTATATTTGCTCTGGAGTGTGTTACTGACTATGTTAAAGCTGTAATCGTATAGTTATTAAAATTTTTTTTAATCCTATAATTCCAGCACTTCAGAAACTGAGGTAGGATGATTGCCACGAGTATAAGACTAGCTTGGGCTATCAAGACCCTGTCTCAAAAAAGAGGAAAATGAGATTTTCATTTTCTTAGTAATGCTGAATTATATTTGCTCTGGAGTGTGTTACTGACTATGTTAAAGCTGTAATCGTATAGTTATTAAAATTTTTTTTAATATAATGATAAAAAACACAGGCTGTTGCCACAGTTCTTTATTGCTTCTCAGAACTTGAACGTAAGACCCTACAGTAGAATGGAGATCCCACTCAAGACACAGGACCTCAAGCAAGTGAGTTGAAAGTGACTTGGAATTCACCTCCCTGAAGTCTAACTCTCATAGCATCAGAGAATACTATACAAACTGCCAAGAGAGAAAACCAGTCAATGGCCCTACCTAGCTGTAAAGCCCAATAAGCCACAGTTACTGACCCAGCAAACTATCGCTATTGCTGCAGTAGTGACAATTACTTACAGCCACTTGTGAAAGAGATGTACTCTTGCTCTGGAGTGTGTTACTGAATATGTTAAAGCTGTAATGAAATGCTTCTAATCATGTAGTTATTTTAAAAAATTTTAAAAAAAGAAAATATGTATATTTGATTCATATGAAGAAATTGGAAAAATAAATATTGTATGTCATTTTAAAAAATTTACAGGGCTGAGGGTCTGTGACTCAGTGGCAAAATACTTGCCTAGCATTCAAGACATGATAGGGAAGCTACATGAAGGAAATCTCCAGTATGGTAGTCTAACAAGATTTGTACAATGACAAAACCAGTTGATATACCAAGGTAGATAAGGAGAAATTTCAAGAGGTCCAACCTCAAGATGAAGTGCTACAGACAAGCAATGGATGCTGAGAGAGAGAATCAGTTGTTTCCAGGGACTAGCTCTCTGAGAGGTTATCTAATTCCAAGTGGGTGGCCCTAAACACAGGTACACATGAACACCACTGAAAGGACTCATTGTATTATATATGTATATTTATAAATGTATGTACGTAATGTAACAATAAAGGACAAGAAATTGAGAGGGAATGGGGTGACATGGGAAGAGTTGGAGGGGACTGGGAGGGATGGAATAATGCAGAGACTATAACTCACATGTGGTATTCACAAAAAAACAGGGCACAAAATCTGGTAGCGGATATTAAGGGTACGGTAGGGGAGGGTGTCTGAATATGATCAAAATACATTGTATGAAATTCTCAAACTCAAATTTAAAAA